TTATCGAAAAATATCTTTTTCCAAACATAATACTTTATCTAGTCTCTAATTTTTAATTCATATATATTTTCAAATATTCAAAGAAGAAGCTTACATAGACTTAATGCCTCAAAAAACTCTCGTCGTTCTTCCTTAGTTGTTTTTCGCAATATTTCTATGCTGCATATAATGATATTTTTTACAGGATTTATGATGATGGATGTACTCTGCTCCCCTGTGGTTTTACTGCCTAGCATTCTATGTTTAGGAAAGTCGTAAACTACCCAATGCGGAAATCCACATTAACTTATTCGTTAAACTTGAAGATTTCTAATGATGAGGAGTCTGCTGGAAAATACAGAATATTTACGACTTGTTGAACCCCCAAATTACAAATGTATATTCAAAGAAATGTCGATCTGTTGAATATAATCATTATAAATCCCCCAGCTTTCGCTATCAACCACACCATATACCTTCCTTTCCCTCTGTAAGTGCTGATTACACATCTATATGACATACACATCTATATGCAAAGTCCACTTGCTGTTGGTAAACAGCAACAGAACCTCTGCACAAATCAAAGCCGAAAATATTTCTACTTGCCACACACGTCTGTTGCTCTGCAATGAAATGCAATTTTGTGAAATTATTGTGGTAAAAGGGAAATGCATAGAGTGAAGGCTTCTCCTAAAAGCACATCTAAAGAATGCCATCTAAAGAATGTGGGTAATTTGAAACATTTCAGTTTTGAATCTTATCAGATTTGCAAAAATTGCTGAATTTCTGGTGCATATTATGACTGATCTGTGATGCTTTGCTCATGGGCTGGCAGCAGCTCGGCTGAGAGTTTTTCATCAACACATTAGAAATTATGTGAAGCACTTTGGTATGCACAGCTTGGCTGGCGCTTGCCGCCTTGCCGTAGATCTTCTTTGGCTGTCGATAGTTGGCATGTGCTCCGGAAATTGCTAGCGACTGCAACAGCTATTGCAAGATTCATTAATTTATTGGAAAACTCGTCATAGCATAGCAGGGCGCTGCCTGGCAGCTATGGCTGCTGGTGTTGGTGTTGGTGCTCGAGCCGAAATACCGCACAAAATTCAAACTGTAGAACACAATCAACAAATGTTTCCCTCTAGCCATTAGCATTAATATTTCAATGAATGGGATTGCGCTAGGTCCGGGTGCGGCTGAACCGAGCTGAATTCAGCAACTTTTGAGCTGCGCCACGGGCTGCCGAGCGGCATAACAAGAGAAAATTCAGTGCTTGTCAGCTGGTGCCAGATTTACGTGTTGTTATTGTGGCAACACTGCTGCGGGAGTGCAACAAAAAGCACTGAAAAAAAAACAAAAAGAGAGAAAGCAGCAACAGCAACTAAACTCGAAGCGCTCATTTTTCGCTCTCATAAACAAGTTTTTCACACTGAACGGCAAACCCCAAGCAATGCCAAACTGGGGGCTGCTTTATAAATCTACATGGAAATTCAGGCAAGCTATCCAAAGGCAAGGCGAAATGGCAGAGGCTGGGCACGACGGGTGAGAATTGTCGACTTCGGACCCAAATGCAACTTATTGTTGCTGTAATTGTTGTTCTACTAGTTGTGCATGTTGAAAGTTTTACTGAATTTATTATGATTTGCTGTACTCGCTGCTGTGTATAAATTATTGTTATTAATTTATAAAACTGCTGCCCGAACTGGTACAATTGAAATACGACTGACTGACTGAGTGTGTGTGAGAGAGTGTGCTTGTGTGTAGCTCACTCATCTACCACTCATCTCCCACAGCAGCAGCTGCTTCACAGTTTTCATGTACTCCATCCACACTTCAACTTATGCGGCTATTATATATGCATTTTCTGCTGCGACCTGCCTTGATTAGCATTCGCACAGCTGCTTGGGCCATTGCGTCCATCTGACTGGGTAGTCCGTGTGTCCCTGTTGGCCATAAGACTTGATTTGCACACCATTTTCACTTGCCGAATGAGGAAGAGCAGCAACGTCGCCTCCCACAGCCAATCGTGGAGAGTAGAGCGAGCTTCTTAACAGCACGTGGCGTATACTTAATATTTAGTTCATATTACTCCGCCAACATTTCGTGTGCTACTGTTGTAGTTTTACATTGAGTCTCATTTGGAGCCAAAATATTCATGTTTTGTTGTTTAGTTTAGTTTAGTTTTTTTTCAGTTCTCTTCTCTTCTCTACATTATTTTCCATTTCACACTTCGCTGCAGTTGGCATGTGTTTAGCATAATGCAGCTGATTTTTAACGGAAATCACAACATTTAGAATACGCTGATAGAACAACAGCTGAACGGAAGATAACATTTGTGGAATAGAACTAGCAAAGCATAAGCGAGTCCGTTCTACTCGGGGCTGCCCAACTAGCAGATACCCTGAGTACTACGACGAGCTCATATCTCTTATATCATAGTAAAAGTTTTGCTGCCTGAACTTTTATAAAATTCATTCGAAAGTTATTTCTTTGCTTGAATTTTAGAGAGGGATAAGAACATCGCTTTATTTACAGCCTTTGAGAATTATTTCAATTGGGGGAAACGAGGCAAATAGTACAAAATTATTCACTACAGAAGAAGTTGATAGATTGATTTTTGATTTTGCGGTACTTAAATCAATTAATAAAAACTAAAAAATTAATTTCAAAAAAAAAAAAAAAAAGTAAAATATAATAATAAAAAAATAAAATTGAATTTTATTTATAATAAATATGAGCAAAAAAGATACTGGGTTTAATATATACAGGTATTAATTTAAGGCTTAAAATACCAGACCAACTGAGCTCATGGTTCTGATCAGGAATATATATATACTTCATAAAGTCTGTCACGTATGTATTTTATATACATATTATTAAATACAGCGAATACAATTTGCATTTACTATATTTAATTTATATGTACATTAATCACAACTAATAAAAACTTTTTAAGCATTTTAATTATAAATATATAATTTTTCATTTCACACACACTTTTTCGACGACCGTAAGCAAAGCGCAGAGCAACAATCCAAGTTCCTGAGGCAGTGGCTGCCCTTCTTATGGCAATTTTTCGCAAACGACTCGAGCTTCATCTAAGGATAATATACATAGCTTCAGGGAGGTTTACTCCTTCAAATTAATTTCCCCATACCTTTTTTACTATCATTTCCATACGCACTGATGACGTTTCAATGAACTTGGAAAGATCCGCATGCTCCACAACATCTTCAGCTCTATGTTCAATGAACGGGTCTTCCACAACTTCGGGCAGCTTGACCTCATGATACGGCACGAGACCCACTTTCAATGTGCTCGTATACTGATCGGGCAGATGATATAGCTTGTACTTCTTGCCATCCACAGGCAAATGTAGCAAGCTCAATGAGAGAAACACAGCGCTGACAGTGAAATACATTTTGTCGCAATGATTCTTAGAATAATAATATCAATTCAGTGAATTCAGCGGCTTTTATACTGCCAGAGCTGAGGCATGATAAGTAAACATGTGCAGCTCGAGCTAAACACCAAATTGCCTTACAGCTGATTAGGCAGCTCCAGAAACAATTGTGGAATGCTGGGGCATGGCATGGACTGTTTGTCAGTAAAAACATTTCCCTGCAAGCTCCAGCAATGAGAATAACAATAATAATATTCATATCCCCAGTGCATTGTTAATTGTTTAGCACAATGGAAAAATTGTGAAAATTTGAGGGACAAAGCAAAAATGCCATTTTCATTTCGTATCGCTGGCAACGTACGTGGCAAAGCCCAGCCATGCCTCAAAAGGTGCTTCGCATAAAAGCGAAAACTCAGCTGGCTCTCGGCTTGCTTACAAACGTCTGATATTTGTCAACTCATCATGAGCTCTGCTCGTGCGACAGATGACATCGTTGCGGTAATTGAAAAAATGTTTTAAAAGCCAACCATGCGCTCCGTAAGCCCTGACTTTGTGCAAAGAGTATACGGAATTAATAAAGGTGAATATTCACACATCCTGTCATCCGTGCTAATTAAACCGCACTGAAGCGCTCTTTGAGTACATATTGCGCTAGCAAAAATATGCTTAAATGTCAACGCACACCTCTTAATTAATTAAAGGTGATGGAAACGTTTGTAGGGACATGCCACAGTATCTTGAAATAATTAAAAAAAGGAAGCTCTCCAGAACATAATGTACTTAAGATCCTGCTATGGCACGTCATACAATAAAAATCTGTGCACACACATAAAGCGTGAGTAAAGAGAGCAGCTCTGGTCAAACTGAAAGGGTCAACAGTGTGATTTTGTGTAAGCATCTTGGCCAGCTCCATTTGGCATTCTAGCACGGATGAAACTACAAGCACAGCTCACTTAGCGCCCGAAACTCGATTGCAACATGATATGTTGACACATCAGAGTGCTGTCTCTGCATACATACACATACTTACATATACGCATACAATGATGTATGTATATATGTATGTTATCTGCGTAATTCAATAGCTAACTCGAGCAAACGCTCTGATGCGTTAAGCTTGCTGAGCAGCAGCATCGCTAAGAGACATCTGTCCATCCACCCAGTAGCCTCTCTCCCAGCGACCTGCCAGCCAGTCCATCAGCCATCTTTCAACGTCGCTCGCAACGCGCTGTCTCTCTCATACCGGATTAAGCAATTGAATTTGGATTAGACACTGCGCCACGAGATGCTACCACCATAGACGTATCAATTCTATTTGCATACATTCATACACTCAATGTCTGAGCGCCTGCCGTCCAGGAATTAAGCCAAATGCAACTTCTTTGAATGAATGCACTTTAGACTTTAGATTGGCTATAAGCCATTATAATATATGTATATAAGCAATTATAATTATAAGGTGGTAATAATCTTAATATTTTGCTTCTGTTTTCTTAACTAAAATGTAGCTATAATTTGATTTAAAAAATAATAAAAAATAAAAAAAGGAAATTTATATGTATATGTGTATGTAACTTAAATCTATAATTCAAAGGCTTCAGTCCAAACTGCTAACCTAAAGAGTGGCCCACATATAAAGACAAAATTCGTACTTAGAGCGTTAAATGCTATGCTCTCTATCGATTCTCCAAACAGAGCATTAGGCATATAAGATGAATAGATAATCAACTTCTTTCTTCTTTCTTTCTTCTTAGCACTTATCAGGCATTTGACTAGAAAAACGTAGACCAAAGACCACTTGAAGTACGTGCTAAATATTTAACGATTGTTTTCTGCCTCAACTACATGTACAAAAAAAAATATTCAATATGTCAATTGCGAATTAAAGAGAAGTTAATATTCAATGTCAAAAGTACTATATATAAGGAACAATATCAGTACAAGGTCAATGTTGCCATATTTGTACTAGAAAATTCTTCATTTGAATAAAACGCGCATACTAAATTATATACTAAAATATATACTAAAAAAAGAAATTTAAAGTAAAACTTTAGTCATCAATGTACGCAAAATAGACTTAGGGTTAGGAGAAGCCTTTGTAGAGAAATATTAATGCTGGCAGCTTGCGTGGGCAGTTGGCTAAGAGAACAAATACCATGAATGACACTTGGCAAGGCAGCTGCGTAAACAAGGGTATCAGTTACATAAACTGCTTAAGAGCTAGACTGCTGCCAGAGTTGACTTAACCACGTAAGAGTTAGGATCTAAGATGTGGGCATACTAATCTTACCTACCCATCATTTGGCCATCAAAATCCGGTACCAAATATATGCGCTCGAACAAGTTGTGCAACGTGTTGTAGACGAAATGTTCGCTGGCAACGTGCTCGTAGCTCTCGCTCGAACTTTCCGCCAGCGAAATTTCCCACTATGGCTGCATGCAACAACGGTGTTAGGCCATCGCCCAAGCACTTCAACTACATAAGCTGCAACAATACATTTGCCACTTTTAGTTCATTGTCGGTTTTCAAAGTGCGCGGTTCGAATTGGCGGGCGTCCAGCAGCGTTTCAGTCTCTAGAGTGAATAAATTTAATAAGAATTTAAAGCATATGCACAGCGATACAATAAGACCTAGCACACACACACATACACCACTATTAAATCATAAATAAATATAGAAAAAAATTATTTAATTATTATCTAAATAAGTGAAAGAATTCATAAAAAAGCTGCAAGAAAATAAAAGTTAAATAATGTAAAGTTAATAATATATATAATAATCCAAGGTTTTCAAGTACAATAACAAAGAGTTGCCGGATTCTGAAAGCAGTGCCCGTTATGAATATTGACAACAGCTGTCAGCTGCCATCAAGAGTCGATTGACACAATAAACGTAAATTTATAAAGGAAAAAAAAAAGCGAAAAAAGAAATGCTCTTTCCAACCGATTGCGCCTGTAAGTATGCAACATGCGATTAACCCGTAGACTCGGCAGAGAAAAACACGCATACGCCGCATATGGCGCATGCTGGCCACACAGATTATGTGCGAAAAATAAAAAAAGAAATATATATAAAAGAGATAATATCACGCTTCGATTAAAGTCTATTGAATCTTTAAGCAGGCGTTCAAAGAAATTTCGGGTGTGTCCCACAAAGGCTTCGGGTCTGTGCTTGTGCATAAATGATTTGATTATTTATTTAGTCATAAAGACTACGCTAATGTAGATTTCCCATGAAAAAAGGATGGGTATGGAAGTTGGTGACAAAAATTTTAATGGAAATTTTTCCATTTGCATATCAAATGCAATTTTTAATAATAAATAAACAAACATCTAAATAAATAAATAAATAAAATATCAAATGCAAATTTTTTTGTTTTACTTAGTTAAAATTCCGAATTAAATTACCGAAAATATAATTACTTATATTCATAAATCAAGAATATTTTATATAATATTTTTACATGTGTTTAATTCCACTGCATAATAATATTCAATTTAATAGAATATTTACTTTCAAAATGAATCGAAAATGAATAGAGTGCAATCAAGTGCATAATTTGATATAATACTGTTTTTATTTAAAATAAATTTTTATTTAATATAATTTAAAAACCAATAAAAATTAATTTCAGCTCAAAACTCAATTAAATTTTGACCCTTTTAAGCTTAACGCAACGTTTATTCAATCACACTTTTTCTGCACATCTCTTTATATATTTAACGACTGCCATAACTCAACGAAAAAATGTTCATTTTCCTTTGACCGTTGAAAAAAAAAAGTTGCGACAACTTTTTCTGTGTTTCTACACTCACTCACGAAAGTCGAATGGGCATATTGGCTTTACTGAATATCCATTTCGTTATCCATTCGTCAAATTGCATGCCACTTCATCGCTATTGATGCTAGAAATGGAGCATATACTCGTGTAGGAGTACAGTAACAAGGTGTTACCGATTTAGGGTGTGGCACATTGTAAAATGTGTCTGGCAGCGCTTAGTCAGTGAATGAATATTTTGCAGTCGGCAACGCCCTCTCACTTGAGTTTTCTAATAAAATGTTGTAGGCCAGGCCTAAACGGCAGCAGGCGCATCGAGAAATGTGTCAGGGACAAACTGTAAAAGGTGCAATTCGCGATTCGACAACGCTTTAAAGGGCCAGCATCATTAAGAGTGCTTAGGGTGCGTCAGGACGAGACAGAGTCAATGAAACTTCTGGAACTTTTCAACTTTTATTAGCACTCATTTGGCACCCTCGGGTGGCCAAGACAACGGAGAATATAAAGAATGCTAATTAAATCTAATGCAAATGATGATTGTCAAGGACTTGGACAAACAACCGAGAAACAGAACAAATTAAATCTCGAGCTGCGAACAAGGGCGACGAAATAATTTATTTAATTGTCAAACGCATCAACACAGCCAACGACTCTGCATGTGTCTCTTAACAGCTTGGAAATAAAGTGCATCTGGTGAAAAGAATACTAGAAAACAGAGAAAACAGTTGGAGAACATGAATAACAAGAGGATCTGGAAATTCGACAATAAGTGAGCAAGAGAAATAAAATCATATCGAGCCAAGACAAAACGTGCCGCGTCGCAAATGCAGATAATCGACAGAGCGGAAGCAAAACAAAAACTAGAAAAAGAAACAAAACGGGAAAGCTTTCTTAAAATATATGTATGAGCATAAAGAAAATATGTTGCCTAACTGTAAACACATGCGACAACAGCGATAGTCCCAACAGGGTCAAAAGTTAACCTCGAGTCTTTGAAACAATTTAAATAACAACTAATGAAACAAATTGCAAAAAAGCAAAAAGAAGCATCGCACACATCGTACAGCAACTGCATGCTGCAAGCTAAAAGAAGAGACTTTTATCTATTTTGTTTTCTTTTTTTTTTTTTGCTTTGTTTTTTTTTCTGATAAAAAGTTTTTTTTGCTGTCAAGAAAAACCACGCAATTTGTTGTTATTATCATTTGTTTACAGCAGCTCGCAGTTGGCTTGTTGTTCGCCTTGTTGACAACATCGTCAGCATAAGTTTGATTTTATCTTGAGCTTCGCTTTTTATGCTAATAGATTCGACAAATTTACAGCAGCTGCTGCCGTTCTAGCCACCCATAATGATTTCTCGCTCAAGTTTGACACAAGTTCGACAAATTCTTTTAAAATTCTGCTTTGCATAACATTTTGGTAAATTTTCAATGAACATTTTGCCTTCTGTATAAATATAAATTTTTTAGGGAATTTAAGTTATGCTGAAGTGTGTTTTATTTTAAATTTAATCAAATTAATTATAAAGAAAATGTATGAAAATTAAATATTGAATTAAATATATTTTTGGAATTTTTAAGTTATTTATGAAAAAGAATTATTTATATTTATATAATTATATTGAGTGAAAAAATATATATATAAATATATTTTTGAAATATAAATACATAAAATGATTATTTATTTATATTAATATAATTAATTAATATTATGTTAAAAAAAAAATAGGGAAAATAATTTCATTTTTAATTTATTTTCTCAATTTGTTTATCTACTTGAAATGAAAATGAAAATAAATTTAAATATTCATTTGCTAATGCTAAGCTAATGCTAATTTATTACATTACTAGAAAACCCATTGTACTTAATGAGATTAGCAAAAACAGTATTTTTATTTAAGCAAACATTTCGCTTTGATTACGTTTACTTTTCGACATGCTATAATAAAAACTGCTGTTTGCCTTATTACCGGAAGTTTAATAAAGCTCTCACAAAAAAAGTAAAACAAACTTAAATTCTGTAGTTATTAGAGCGCAACTGTAATGGTTACTGGGGAAGGAAGCACAGACCTCAGCTTATAGTTTTAGCTATTTGAATATAAATTTTATGCTTAAAATGCTTATCTACCATTTATGTGGAAAATATGAAATAGGCAAATACATAATAATAATGAATAAATTAAAATCGCTGAATTGTTTAAGCTATTATTGACAGTTTGCTGCTTATTCACTTACTTTAAGTATTATTCTAAGCATTTTTGTAAGGGGACAATTTAAGAATATGTCATTGTTAAAATATTCACATAATAGCTAAATTATTTTTATGTAATATAAATATTCGCATAATATCATATACAATATTCATCAATAGATATCTGAGCTGCTCAGGTATCTGTAATATTATAGAGTAGCCAATGACGCTAGTTTACGCTATTACGATGCGAGCTGGCAGATAGATATATGTATACATATATGCATATACATATACATATAGTGTATGCATACATATGTAATTGATTGATTTTATTCCATGTTTTTGACAATGTCGGAGGCGTTGGCATAAAACATGCCCAACCAATTTCATTTTCCTTTTTATTCAGCGCTGTGCGACCAATCGAGAAAATATTGAAATGAGTTGAGTTCGGGATTAGCTGCCTTAATGCCGGACAAGTGCGTTGTCAATATTCAAATTGAAAACATGCCAGGCGACAGGCCCCTCTTCATGCATATATATAAATATGTATGTGTGTGTATATACATATTTATTTATTTTATTTTCAGCACTCGACATGTTGAGCTCGCTGTTCGCCGTAAGCATGATTGGAATTTTAATAAGTTTCTGTCATAAGCGAAACGTATACAAGCTTATGGCACATATCATATCATGAGTTATGTGCTCGCCTGAGCATCACAATGTCCAGCCCCAAAATGTTGGCAACACAATATGTAAATGTATGAATCTATATGCACATACACATACATACATATATAGTTGTAGTAGATGTACATAAAGATAGGGCCACGCAACAACTGTTTTCCCTCTTTTCTATAATATATAATATGTCTGCCTATTCAGGCCTACCCTTTTCGTGTCTGCTGTCAGAGCTGTTCACATGCGGCTGCTGTTCGTTGATAAACAAAATAAATAGCTCCTGCCTAGCTGAGCGCTCTGCTATCAGCTCAGCTGCTTTCTAATTTATCGCTGATTGTATGTCATACTTGAACTGTCAAGTCGCATCACTGTTCGAGTGCCAACTTCTTCAGCTACTTGAGAATGAACAGATGTATTTGATTTTTTTTTTTCGCCCAGCCATCCAATCTCATTTGCATAAGCAGCTGCGCAGGTGGGCAAGTGAGCAGGTGGACAAAAAACAAAAAAAGTCAGATACACTCACACGTTTCCATTAAGTCATAAATAAATATGTACTGCCAGTCGCACGTGTTCAGTTTGTTTTTCATGAATACACTCATGCCACAGCATATCGAATATCAAATGAATATATATTATGTCATCTGACTTTTTCGCGCAGCTGAGTTTTTATGGCTGCAGGTGAAAGTTCTTTGAAGCACACAATTGTTAATAAACTTTTATTTCATGTTGATGGAAACTGATTTACAAAGATTAATAAATTAATAACTATGGTTTAACTGCATATACTATTAAAGTTTACAAATTTAAATAAGTGAAAAGAGAAATAAACTTAATCTGCATTAATGTGTTAATAAACTTTTTTTGTATGTGAATGGGAACTGATTTACAATGATTAATAAATCAATAATTAAATTTGAAATAAATTCAATTTTCAAAGAAAAAAACGCATTTCTACATTAATTTGTATGTGAATGGGAACTGATTTATTAAGATTAAATCAATATCTACATTTTAATCAAATTTAAAATTAAATAGATAAAACAGAAAATAAAT